ATATAAGCCTCTATGTTCCGGCCGATCTAATCTCCGAAGACCGTATTCACAAATCTCTGAAACGTAGCAGGGGCATTCTTCAGGCCGAATGACATAACTTTGTAGCAATATAGCCCCTGCTTGGTCACAAATGCTGTTTTTTCTTAATCTTCCTCCCACAAAGGGATCTGGTGGAATCCGGAGTATGAGTCCATAAAGCTCATCAGGGCATGCTCGGCCGTTGAATTAACCAGACGATCAATCTTAGGCAAGGGAAAGATATCCTTAGAGCATGCCTTGTTGAGGTCAATGTAATCTACGCACATCCTCCAAGTTCCATTCGGCTTCTTGACAAGAGTTACATTGGCCACCCATTTAGGGTAGTAACATTACCGAATAAAACCGACATCCAACAACTTTTTAACTTCGGCTGTGATCGCCTGGTTCCTCTCTTCTCCATGATTCCTCATTTTCTAACGAACAGGTCTTACAGCCGGGTTCACAGTCAACTTATGAACTGCTAAGTCTGGGCTGATACCTGGCATCTCGTGAACTTCAAATGCAAACACATCTCTGATTTCTCTTAACAGATTCACCAAGTCATCTCCAAGCAAGCCCATGGCCATAATGCCCACTTTGATCGTCCGATCAAGCTGGTCTAGGTCAAGCACTATGTCCGTATGATCGTCGGCAGGCTATGGCGTCAACACTTCTGGCCGGCCGACGGTCATTAGCTGCTATGCTTGCTCTTTCTTGATCGACTTCCGCTTCTTACCGAATTGGTATTTTTGGAGTGACCTTTCTTCGGGATTTTGCACGGACACAGTCACATGTCCAAGTGTTGTTGGCTTCACGGCCAGCTGATTACATTCTTTGGCCATCTTTTGATTTCCTTGAATAGAACCTATCTTCCCATCTGACCGCTCAAACTTCATCAGCATCAAGTGAGGGACGATTACTGCCTTTGATGATGTCAAAGTTGGGCGGCCGATGATAACATTGTAGCCACTGAGCTCCTTAACAAATAGGAAGCGGACGACCATGTCCCTTCCTTCTCCCTTCTGCCCAAATCGGACAGGCAAGTTTATCCGTCCGACTGGGTGAATAATACTCTCACCGAACCCAACCAACAGGTGAGAGATATCCTTCAGGACGTCCTCTAGGAACTTCAGATTCTTCAAACATGCTAAACTGATTATATCGGACGAGTTGCCCGTGTCTATTAGCACTCGTCCAACCTTCAAATTGGCAACTTTCAAGATGAACACCATGGGGTCATTGTGAAGTGCCTTGATTTTGCCTCGGTCTGCCTTGCAGACCATCACTTTTGGAAAAGGCTCAGCCTTTACCCTTTCAGTGTGCATTACATTTTCAAAATTCCAAGCATCCTGCGTTATTCCTTTCATGGTAAGACCGCCTGACGCAAAGCCGCCTAATATGACGGCCACAAACCCTGAGTCTGTGCTGTTTCCATCATTATCTTTTTCTTTCTTCTTCTCGGATTTACTTGGACTTTAGGACGTACGAGTTGAGCATGCCCTTCTCGGCCAGTTTATCGAGCAACCTCTTCAAATTGTTGCAGTCGTTTGTGTCATGCCCCACATCCTTGTGGTAATGACAGTACTTGTTCTTGTTCCTGTACTAGGCCGACCCTCTCAAAGGCTGAGGCTTTTCAAACTCAAACTTGTATTTCATTTCCATCAAAATTGAATAACAATCCTTGTTGTACTCGTACTGAGGCTCGTACGTCTTGGCTTTCTTTAACTTCATTTGTTGGCAGTCGGCCACCCAGACTTCTTTTCTTTTGTTGCTTCCTTCCTTCTTTTTGCCGGCCGAGTCTTGCTAAGAAGATTGTTTTTTCTCGGCCCCCTTGGCCGGCTCTTCTGATTGTGTAAGGGAACAAAAATCAGCTACCTCGATATATGATTTGGCCTCCCGCAGAACTCCTGCGTATGTTCGAATCTTTTTCCTGATCAAATCAAACTTGAATCCATTATTCCTTAAACCTTAAAGGAAATCCGAGTAGGCCATCTCATCCGACATATTTTGAATTTGAACTTTCTCCAAGTTGAACCTATGGACGTACGAGCGCAACCCCTCTTTCTTTCCTTGGACGATGGTTTCCAAGTTAAGACTAGTCTTTCGGGATAGTAGAAAGTCTTGGGAATTCGAATGTAAATGGTGTTGTATATTATTTGACCGGAGAAGTTTATTATCTATGGTGGTAACGGAATGAACGAGTTGTGAAGATCACACCAAATTCTAATTGGAAAGTGTTAAAGACGGCGACACGAAATATGTTTTACCCATTAGTATTTACAATAGCCTAAGCCGAAGAGTTTATGGATTTAGCTTAGCGATAAAGAAATTGTCTTAGACTTGGATTTCGTTGAGTTGCCTAGGCTTGCAATTGAGGTGGTGTCTGCAAAAAAAAAAAAGGGCGAACTGGTTTGAAAGGAGATTACTATAAATTTACAGCTGAAGTTGTTAGGGTAATTCTTTGTGACTTTGGATAATATATGCAAGACAGCAGCCCATCTATGTGCTCACAAGGAGATAAAAGAGGTCGGGATAAATATAAGAAGTTAAACGAGAAAATAAAGGAGGTAAAGGACCTAGCAACCCTTGCATATATTTCACTACACTTGAGTCTATGAAGTACAATGTATCTTTAAGTAAGGTACGTCCCCACGATATCCAAATTATAATTAATTCTCACAAAATGTGACTAAATTTTACTCTGTCCGCCACAGACCTATCACAACTCTCCTCCTTTATTTAAACTTGAGACTAGTTAGTGCATGTCACAAAGTGACACTCACCGGCGGTCAATATTCAATACCCCAAAGTGACACTCACATGCGAAGTTTTTTTTTCAGCCCACATAGATGTGAAATAAATATATAAACATAAGAAGTAATTAAGATAAAAATTTGAATCTCAAACTACATACAACTATTGTGGGAAATTGCCCAGATCATCAATAAGTAAATAAAAAACATGAAGTAGGTTAGCTCCAAAGCCGATTCCGACCACGGTGTTCATCATTTAAACTTCAAGATGTCTATGCTCGAATTGTAAACATTTTCTTAAAACTACCAAACAAGTTGCGGCCTAATTGTTTTTACAGGCTTAATATCATCTACAAATATATCTCTAGATTTAGGAAGAAGTAATGTTACCATTATTTTATGATAATTAAGAATGACTTTTCAATTTCGACATTTTCTTTCATAGAAGTTTCTTTGAAATATCGAGAGGAAGACAACATGTATTCGACGTGGGCACGTGTTATTTTTCGGTAACCATACACCATATTTGAAAAAATGAAAGTTCATACGATGAAATAAGTAGTTAAAGCTGGGCATGGGCCGGACTGGCACGTAGACTGCCCTGCACGGCACGACAGATGGCCCGGCATGGCACGGGCACGGCAGCGACACGACACGGCACGTGAAACGGCCGGTGGGCCGTGGGCCGTGGGCCGTGCCGTGAACAAGAAAATTGAAATTTGGCACGAGCACGGCGGGCGGCACGAACACCAGCCCGTCGGCACGACCCGCCAGGCACGACACCTTTATAATAAAATTAATATTTTTTTTAACAAAATAATAAAGCAAATATTAAAAATAAATAAATAAATAAATAAATGGGCGGCATGGGGGCCGGCACGACACGGCACGCTAGGCACGTGGGCCGTGTCGTGCCGTGGGCCGACTTGTGGAAATGGCCAGCATAGCACGGCACGACCGTGCCAGCATGACGACACGACAAGGCACGACCCGCCATGTGGCTAGGCACGGCCGACACAACCCACGGTGGCACGACACGGCACGGCGCCCAGCTAAAATAGTACGTGATAAAAAATAAATAAAAAAAAAAAAGTCAATATCAATTCAATTGTACATCTTATGGTGGGAAGGAATGTACTTTCTAACCCTGAGATTGGGAGTTCACTCCCCACTAGAGACACTTAGAGGGTGGGGATTCTTTATCCTTCCACTCTCGTTCTCAAGGTGCCTGACCCGCAAATATTAGACCAAAAAAATATGAGGGTTTAGGTACGGTCAAGGTTCCTTCTCTTTACCTTTTTAAAAAAAATTCTATTGTACATACAGAAAATGTACACTAAGCTAAACAATTTTTCGAAGGTGATAAAAGTGCTTCAATAATTCTTTACTGACCCGAATAAAATCCAATTCAAATTCCTACTTGTATGAGAACAATAATTTATTAGCATGACTCAAATTTGAAATTAAATTGACCTAATCGAATTGAATTCGTTCCAATTGCACAAATTAGCATATATCATTACAAAATTATGGTACGGAGTGCAGAGTATTAATAAGTTTGTAGTTACAAGTTGGAAAATTTTTAAGTATTATATTTCATTATCAACCAACAAATTATGTCTATTTCATACTTCTGTTTGATGTTGAAGTACAGGTGGATGTTCAACATCAAATCGGATAATCCAAAACAAGAGTTCGCAAAATCTTATAGCAAGACTTGAACTCATAATAAGAGTCTTACGTTACAAGTTTTACCACCTTAGGTATTCATATATTGTGCTTTTTTACCCAACAAAATTATAGTTAACTTGGAAAGATGATTGGTCCGTAGTTGTACAATTCATTACATATCATCAGATAATTTAACAACTTTAATTTTGAAATTTAAAAAATTGTATTGTTTTTCGATTTGATGAAAAATGATTGATTTATAGTTAATAGTTAAACATCTTTAAATCATAACATACAAAATATTGAATATGATTCTTCTAAAACAAATCTTTTTTCAAAATATTAATTTTTTTTAAAAGATAATTATCATAACATTAAGAAAAAACAGTAGAATATTATCAAAATATTAAAATTTTTTAGAGAGTAAGGGATAGCTCAAGTGGTTAGAGCTTCTCTCCCGGTCCCATAAGATCTCGGGATCAATTTATCTTCCCCACTAAACTTTCCCAATAAATATCAAAGATCATCTTTTTCAGAAAGGATAAATCCCGACATTAGCATATGGAAACATTCTATGGTTTGCTTTAATCTTAATAATGAAAGTTTTAGCTCCTTGCCATTACCCAACTATGATTAAGTATTCTACGTGTACGTGCACATTGGAGTGCGTGATGATTGCTTGAATCTAATGCTCAACAATTTTAGTTATTGTGAAGTGTGGATTATGAAAGAGTATGGCATATCCTCGTCCTGGTAACAATGATATAGTTAACGATTTGATGCCTATTTCTTTCTTTAAAGAAAGGAAGATATTGTTGGCAAACTTCCTCCTCTGTAACGTTGCTTGTGTGAATTTGCAAACTTTGGAGATTACGGATTTTGAACTCCCTGGTTTCGGTAGAATATGGAATGTGTATGTATGCCCGGAGAACCTGCTTTCGTTCAAGGATGCTGAAGATGGTCTTGCCAGGGACACGAAGAACGAACGCCAAAAGGCGAAGATTAATGAGAAAAGCAAAAAGGTATGCTTGACCTTAGGGTTGTTTTTTAATAGCTACAAGTTTAGGAAATTTGAATATTTTCGGTCTTTGGTTAGATCATTATGTTAGTAGGATTACTCGATCCTTTGTTATAACTTGGTAACTGCAGAACTACTATAACAATGAATGTTTTACTTCATTTATGTGAGAGTGACTTTTAAAATTTTGTTGTACAGGTTTTTACAATAATTTGCTTCTATTATGCAAAAATATGATGTGTGGAGGAAAGAAAATAGTCACTGGGAGGGAAGTCGAGAACGTTTAGGGATTGGAAATAATGAGCTGATTCCTTGATCTAATTTCGAGTCTTGACCCATGTAGTGAACGGATTAGAGGACAACACCTTATATAGTTTATATTTATATCAGTTTGTTTTGTTCTTTGTTTGTGATGATCAATTTCATAGTGAAACGAACTCATATGATTATTTTTTTCAATGGTATACTTGAGTTTCAATGTTATCCTCTATTTATAACAACCTTGAAGATGCAACAAGCTTACAAAGAGAGCGATTTAATTACTTCGTACTAATTTATTTTGATTAATTGTGACAGATGTGACGTCACGAATTATTAATTATATGTTGCCGAAGATCAGAAACAACATTTGATAGCTCTATACCCTAATCATTTTTAATAGTTCCAAGTTTTTAGATACCTGTAAAAATGGACCATAATTGAGCACAAAACTAGTTATTAATCTTTTTTTCAGTTAAAGATAACTTTAATGAAATATCATACTACGTTTACAACTGTAACATTATTTATTAAGTGCTTCCAACAGAACTTCATTACCATTAGAAACTAAAAGATTGTGATTTGTGACATAGATTGCTTAAGAATGTTATTCTAATATGATCATAAATTCATAATGCAACATGACATTGACACATGCATTTACTAGACAGAGATTTAACATTAACTTTACAGGGGAAACACACCAAGTTTATTCCATGTGTACTGGAGCTTGAATGTAAAAAAGAAGGATGTAGTATAACATAATCATCTTTCAGCCTAAATCGGTACGAAGGGGGATGTTAAACAGCTACATTAAGTACTCTCATACATTTCCGTGGATTGAATCCATGGACATGGCAACCCATTTCTCATCTCTATGCATGACGGTGGCTCCTGTAGGTAATGTCATATTGGGTGTCACAGGGTAAACTTTGATCTTTTTGTGTGATGACATTACACCAGAACTGGGCGATGGCTGATCAATCTGGCGGACCCCTGATCTTGAAGGGGACTGAATGGGAGCACTTGATGAGTTTTGCCCAGAGGAATTGTCCAACTTCAGTCCACAATTATTTTGATCAAAGTTAGTGTGGACTTCAGGTTTCCCCCCAGTCTGTTCAGCTACAGTATCCTGGTGATATGCTCCTGCGAGGACAGAAATGAAGAGTGTCGTTCTATTATCCTGTTATAAAATATAAAAAAAAAAAAGCGTATATCATAAGAATATTAAAAGAAAATATAAATGCAACTTCGTTTATCTTCTATCAATAAATTTTCTGGGAACTTGACCCCCAGGTACAAAAGCAAGTCAAAGATTCAGCCATTAGGTCTGCGAGGGCATTTTCCTTCAAATATAACCTGATACAGAAATAATTCTGTAACTATTTGTTCAATGAAATTATAACTCAACAATAAAATATAGGATCTATCTTGTTAGCACAATTCTCTGCTCGTGAATGAGCAGGCAACTGAAAAATGGTGAGACTTGAGAGACTATGTAAATCTTTTTGTTTGGTCAATAAATAAAGAACTAATATTGAGCAAGCTACAACTTGGCTTTTCGTTTAAATCTGACACTTCTTTTGTTGTTAAAATGTCTTTGGCCTACTCAGAAGTATCAATGTGATCATACCCATGCTCAACATGGCTGTTGTAAAGTTAACTGAACAGCTTCCCATAAGCACAATAGAACTTCTGTGCTCCCACCAGAAAAGAATAAATACTTCTGTGAATTAAGGTAGAGATGACTTACCAAGATCTAGGGGATTATATCAGTTAAGCTATTATTTGTGTTTAGGGTTTAGGGTTTCTACGTGTATAGTCGTCATCTACGTAAAAGGATTTAACCTATTTGAGCATATAATCTAAGTCAACTAACACTGCAAAGAGTCCATTTTAGAAAAATTCAAGGTGTTAAAGAGTATATAAATATGTCAATATTATACCATGATCTATGTACAAATATAGCATGGTAGTATCATCTAGCCCGACTTGATATATTTATATACTAACACAGGGAAAATGCTTTCTATGGACATCAATTATGTTGAACGTAGAGTTGTATGTGATGCAACATGATCAGCGATGTAAATATTGCATGGATTTGAACAAATGCATAGAAGATTAAAGCAATCAGAGATTTAGACTTCTCAAGTTAGTACATGAGCTCAAAATCTGAAAGCTCAGTCTGTTTCTTTATCTATTCCCTTTTATGATAGAATGCCTTCCTCCCTCATATTAAAACAGGACAACTGAAGAAGGAAAGAAAAGCAATCTTACCGGCATCAGCAGTTACCTTTGAGTACAATAGTTAAATTTTTTTTTTTTTTTTAATTTTTCCTTTTTCTAATACTTCCTGTAATTCAGTCATTTTTTTCACAGTTTCCATTTATCTCACGAATTTTAGGCCTTTAGGAGGAAGGATGTTGCGGAGTTTCAAGACTTTCAACAGATCTATGAACAAACCTGTCAGATCAGGGTTCCTTTTAATCCGTTGTCCTTCTGGACAGTAAATAATTACTTCGTTTTGATCATTAAGATCATCAAGACCTGTTTCCAAAGGTAAACCAGGGTATGACATCAGATCAAAGCATGTGTCTAATGATATATAACTCGTTTTCAATTGTCCTAATTTTCTGTTACAAAGTTCGCATCATTTGGTCCTTGGTTTTAAATTATGCTGTTGCTCAGAGTGCAAGCAAGAATATAATCTGTGAATAGAGTATTAGGCACATGTTCGAGAGCTATGTCGGTACAAAGAGAGAGATCAAACAAAGTACAGTGTGGAACCTTTAATTGAACCTCAAATCTCTCTTTTTTCCTTTTTTTTTTTTTTTTTTTGGGGGGGGGGGGGGGTAACAAGGAAATACAATAGCAAGATACAAAGGGGTGCACTTATAAGGAGACCTAACAAAAGAGACAGAAACTTCTTCCCCTGATTTGGGAGCTATGCATACTAGGCATGAAGAGAAGAAAAACACCCTTCAGCTAGAGAATCACTTAAGATGACAGTTGGTGACCAAAGTTACTTTGAGCAATTCTAAGATACAAAAAGTTCATTAATGTTTACAAATGATATAGGAACCAATTGACCCTAGACAGTGAGAATGAAGTCAGGACTTCAACTTGTGTGTGGATAATTTTGTTTCTTTTACAGTTTTACCAGAAAGGAGGAAGGTACGTTGACAAGATACCCACTCTTAGAATGGGGAGGAGGGGTGAGAATTGACCCAATGCCTGCAGAAGAAGAGTGTTTCCACTGGAGACCAAATTATTTCTCATGGTCAGATTATGTTATTAAAGTACCACCACAATCAACAAAAGCACTGAGATACATCAGCACTGACCAATGACCATCTGTCCTATACAGGGATCAGACAGAAATTACCTTGAATATATTGGACTAACTCAGTTTCCATATGAGGCCTGATTCATAACACTGTATACTATCACTCAAAGTTTCTCAAAAAACTCTTAGCACCCAATGGCTAGAAATTCAAAATAAGAAATAAAAAATAAAAATAGCCTACTTATGAACGCTTTTACGGCTAAGTGGCAACTAACAGCAAAACTAACAACACTCAAGATTCCCACCTTCTCATCACCAGTACGTAAACTTCTTTTGCAGCAGAAATTCTTAGCAAACTTATTCTGAAGTTCCAAGAGAATTTGAGCATTCACATATGTAATAGAGCATAAAAAAAGATACTACCACTTCCCCTTTTTCTCCTTCCCATGAATTTAATTTGATGGATTTATACCCAGTCAAAAGTTTCTCAACCTAATTCCACATGCAGCTTTATTCACAAAAGTGATGCATAAATGTTCCATTATCCAATCATCAATAACATTTAACTATCAGACATTTATATTAACATACACTACATATCTAAAAATATGAGTACGATTATGATTGAGGATAATACAGATTACCTTTGTTGCAATTAACTAGGTCCATATGAGCTCTATTGGATATGGGATCTGGAGCCAAAATGTGTTTATCAGATAAATCAGCAATGGGAACAAATTGCGACTTGGGAGGTGCATCATTGACATGGTAGCTCAGTGAATCAGGTTTAAAGTTTGGTTTCCCTTTACCTACCAAAAAAAAGAAAAAATGCTCAATGCATTAGCAACAGAAGTAAATTGAGCAAAATATAGCATCTCAATTCTCAAAAGAGAATAGATAAAATAAACTAACACAGCCAAATCCAAGAGAAGAGTATCCTAGAAAAATATGCAACGAAACCCAGAGTGATGCCATGAAAATCACTTAGCTTCACAGATAAATTTTTGGATGACTACTTTTTAAATTCACAAAAAAAAACACACACACACAAGTGTTCCTTCATTAAGGGATTGAGGAAGGTGCTGGCTCATTAGTTGTCCTTTCTCCATTCAGGTGTATGTGCTACTGTATGTAATATCCCAAACAGTCAACCAGATCAAATTTGGGCACACACACACACAAACTCATTAAGGAATTGAGGAAGGTGCTGGCTCATTAATTGATCTTTTCTCCATTCAGGGGTTTTTGCTACTGTATATAATATCCCAAACGATCAACTAGATCCAAATTTGCAGTCAATTCTTGAAGAAAGGCAATCACCTAATGTTTTGTGCAAGCTGATTTGTCAATCTAGATAGAATATTGGTTTTGATTTGACAAACTTCAGCTTCTGGATCTTGCAGCTGGTGCAAGCATATTGGGGTGTTTGTCTAATTAGACAAGATTCTCTTTGGTTGAATGTAGCACATATCACATGTCTGATGAGCAATAACTTATACTATAATCACCTTTCCAACATGAATTGTAGCTGACACTAGCAAAGACTTTAAGTTCAGTCAGAAAATCAAGTCTATCCATGATGCTGACAGTTGACTTCAGATGGAGATAAACTACTGGACACCATTTCCTCCCCGTTCTTTCCAACCCAAAAAATTAATAGCCAGTGTAAATCAGTTAGTAAGTAAAAAGTAATAGTCAGTTTCAACCAGTAAAAATCAAGTGTAATCAGTAGATATCATGAACCTCATTTAACAAAGATAAAAAAAGGTAAAAATAAAAAATATAAAAAAAAAATAAAAATAAAAAAAACAGTTAAGATCAGTTTCAATCAAGAAAAACAAATATTAATCAGGATAACAACTAGATTCACTTCAAATAAAATCAGAAGGGATATGGGTCTTCTTGTGCACTCCAGAGGTAAGCCATTGCAAAAACTTACAGATTTAATGTTCTATAAGCTTCAATGAAGATAGGTTATGATGAACAGATAGTTAAATATCACAAGACTTCAAAACCTTCAGTCTACCGCCATTTTGTTTACAATCTTTCTTTGGGTGTCAATTTTTTACTAAAATAGCAACAGAAGATTATGTGCTGGATCAAAACCTCCAACTTTATTGTTAATGGCTAGTAGGTTATATGAGATAGAAGATGGCACTCTTCCAACCTCCACCACTGTTGGTGGCTTGATGCTGTTGAATTTGAGGTCAAAGGTGGGCTCCCATGTTTTCCTATGAAGTTTGTCACAAAGTAGATGTAAATGAACAGTTTGTTAGCTGAATTTGGGCATTTGCTTGTTAGAGAGGTAAGTTGAACTCTAAACAGTAGGTGTACCCTCTTCTGAGTCCGGCCTCACAGTCCAAACCTTTGCAATAGAAAATCTTATAAATACAATGAACAAAAGACAGAAGGGAATCAGACAATGGGTATTTTAGTGTTGACAAATCATAAAAGCACAGTCAAGCATAAATCAAATATGGAATTTTATCTCCATTACATATCTACCACATGTCGATTCTTTAAGTCCAGATAAATCAATATCAACCTTCGCCAAATTATCATCTCTAATAGCAAATTAAACCCTATGGTGTAGATTGTATGATGAAAAATGTGTAAACAAGTAATCAAAATGATCAATTTCAAAGTATCTTACGTTCTTTCATAGCAATATAGGCAACCTTCGCTGCATTCATTTCTGCCAACTTTTTAGTCTTTGCTTCTTGTCCAGTAAAGGACTCCTCATTTATTTCAACAGTTGAAGAAAAAATCGGGTAATGAGAAGGGCCAGACCGGGTTGTAACATATGCTGGTAAACAAGAATATTCTTTCTGAGCTAATTCTTGTAGAAGATTTTTGAAGAAACCTGGATCTTCCTGCAAATTGGGACAAAATACAAAGTTATTGTGTTAATCAATCATGAAAATATGAATGTAGATGACCACACAGTGCCTATAGGTTTATAACCAACCTCTTCAGTTTCATCAGATGATACTGACATTAACGCAGCTTTTGCAGCAGCATTTTCAGCATCTTTAATAGTGCTAAAAAATTCAAAACTTTCATAAGTCTTCTCCTCTAGCATGACCTTGGATTTAAAACGACAAGCATGAGGAGGGCCCTCTCGCTCAGATATGTATACAGGGAGATTGATATTTTTCTTTTGAGCATAGATCTGCAGTTGATTCTTATATAAATGTGCCATATCTGCTAACAACAAATTTATGAGTATAATTAAAATTTACTAGATTAATCTATTGAAGAAAACATCCATCAATACATAATCAATCATATTCATCAGATAAATATATGTATTTGATCATAAATTGTAGTATGCAACCAGTCATCAAATAAAAGTATACTCCCTCTCCATTCTTTGATATTCAACTCGGTTACTATAAATACGCTAAGGAAAAAATAAGAATGTGAATGAGAGTAAGATAAAGAAGGATAAATTAAGAAAGAGAATGTAAAAGGTGGGTTTGTGTAAGAAAAGGTGAATAAAGTAAGAGTGAGTGTGGAAAGGTGTAAGAAGTAAGAGTGAGTGTGGAAAGGTGTAATAATTGTGGGGTTGAAGGGGTAAGATAGTAAAAGAGCAAGGCAAAAAGAAATAGAATAAAGCAAAGTGAGTAGAACAACAAAGAAGGGAATAAATGGTAAGTAGAACAAAAAGGAACAAAGGGAGTATTATGTAATTTAAAATCAATTATACTCCTGCAGTAATTAATAATCACACATAGTCAGTACTGACAAATTGGTGGTTACAATTTGACAATCAAAGCAGGAAAAACATGAATATACCTACTTGATAATAGCAGCCTGAACTCTGAAGCATACAACAAATTCCTATCATATTTGATGAGGATAGAGTGAGTATAGCCACAAGGATGTTGAGTCAAAGTGCATTAACATATTAAGGATATATAGAAGGTGATTTAAACAAGGAAGGATTTAAAGAACCCCTAACACATCACCCAATCAAACTCCAGAATCATCCGCGTCCATTAACTTATTAGGCAAAGGTCACACATTGGAATGAGTTCTCTCTTGGTCATGAGGTGGTCCGTGGTCCTATCATATAAGTCCCAAGCATCCACAGAATCCCGACAATACCTGGAACTGGAGCATTATGCAGCAGATAAGTAGTAAGGCAGCATAGGATTTCAGAAATTTGGGTTTTGGGAAAATAAGAAAATGACAGAGAATCTGTCTTATGCAGGAAGAGCTGTTCTAGTTAATTCTGTTCTGATGTCTCTTCATGTTTATTGGGCTTCCATTTTCATTTTGCCCAAGACTGTGCTGGATGGTGTTATTGCTGTGTGCAGAAATTATCTGTGGGATGGAAAAGCTGTCTTCTCTAGAGCCCCTCCTATTGCCTGGGATTTTATCTGTAAACCTATGAAGCAGGGTGGTTTAGGGATTCATGATATTCATGCTGGGAACATTGCTGCTGTTGGTAAGCTTATCTGGAATATTGCTCAGAAGAAGGATAGTCTTTGGCTGAAATGGGTGAATAGTCTCTACTTGAAGGGTAGAAACTGGAAGAGATACAAATGCCCTTCAGATTGTAGTTGGAACTGGAAGCAAATCTGGTGGGTGAAAGATAAGCTGAAGGATGGTTTCAGAAATGATGTTTGGCTTGCAAATCCTAAAGGATACTCAGTAGCTAGTGGCTATGCTTGGTTAACTCAGAATTCAAGTGAGGTGGACTGGTGTAATTGGGTCCGGAATCGTTTTAGTATCCTAAGCATAGGTTCATTTGTTGGTTGATCATGTGGAGAAGGATCAAAGTTAAAACTCAGCTTGTTAAATGGGGCATTATCAGTGATGATCTCTGTCCTCTTTGCAATCTTGAGTCAGAAACCATTGATCATCTCTTTTTTGAGTGTCATTACAGCAGGAAGTGTTGTACTCAGCTGCAGAAGGTGATTAGAGTTCAGGTTAATCCTGTGCATATTGAAGACTGTAACTCTAAGCTAGAGCAGATTACAGGGAGGTTCAGAAGGAGAGTCATTCAGAGCTGTTTTTCTGGGCTCATTTACTGTATCTGGCAGCAGAGGAACAAAGTGGTGTGGGATAAATGTCTGAGATCTCCTGAAGCTGTGGTTAGAGACCTGAGATTTGAAGTTTTTCAGAGGATTAGTTCTGTTATCCCAGCTAAAACAAGCAGGAATAACATCAACTGGTTTAGGGAAATGTTATGTAATTAGGTGCTTGTTTAGGCTGGTGTAGGGTGGTCTGGTAGTGTTTTCTTGTTCTTCCCTTGGTGCAGATTGTAAAGTTTGCTCTGTTTTGGTGTAAATAATATTCCGTTTTTGCTTTTTCAAAAAAAAAAAAAAAAAAAAAAAAAAAAAAAGAGAGAGAGAGAGAATGACAGGGGGATAGAAGAAGATGGGAAGTTTTCAATTTGACAGTAACTCAGTATACCTTTGGGGTTGCAGGCAGCTAATAATAATGGAAATCAGACCAAGACAACAACCTATTGCAGTTTTACCATTTGGAGCATCAGCTGATACCCCATGACACAATTCACACAATGTGGCTCTCCTAGCGTATTCAGAGGAAGATCTATAGGTTTAGTGTGGATGCTACTTACTTTAGTGATGAAAAGAACATAATGCCTCAGATCTATTTCACGTTATGCATTGAGCCTAGATTGAGCATGAAGTAGCTCAAATATCCATCCGAACCCCAACCAAAGAGATTAAAGTCTCCTAGATATAAATAAGGAACAAAAATGTACATAGCTAGTAAGTACAGCATAATAAGCATCTTTTTTAATCTACTAGTGCTCTGAAATTATGCTCCATAATACAAGGTAATCTAGCAAGCCATGTTTCCCCAATGATTATGCACATGAAGAAAATCAGAAATGGTGTGTCAATGATAATTAGTGTTTTCATTTCCTAACCAACTTTAAGCATTATATTAAAAAAAAAATTATCTCAACGAGATGTCAGAGCAATGAAAATTTTTATTCTTCTTAATTTTTTTCCAAAAGGGGAGAAAGGCAACTTTCTTCAATTTCTTTTTTCAAGAAAGCAAACGAAAATACGAGAAATGCTAATTACAATGTCCTTGCAGAAACCAAAATGGGCATAATAAACCTACAGACATGTCCAACTAAGTTAATCCAACGCCTTCACAACCTGTGAGGAATAAGAATGGAAGCCTCATAACAGCCAATAGAAGGATTATTTAAAACATTAGAAGAAAAAGACTTCATGTCCACAAGCAACCACTATTTTAGGAAAAATGAGGGAATTTGTCTAGTACTGCAATTTGAAGGGCAAGAAATATGAGGTCTCAAACACTGCAAAAATTAATGGGCTTCTCCCTCCTATTTGATGTCTAAATGTCCATTTCTCTTACAAAAGACAACCTTTAGAAGCTTCTGCTTCAATGAAATTTACCAGGATCCACTTCGAAGCTAGGTGAAACCCCTGTAGTATTTTCTTTAGTTAAAAGAAAGTAATTCTCACTTCTCAAGCAAACTCAACACATTTTTGTTTTGCATTTTTATACTTTTTGAGTTTGTTTAATTTTTGGACTAAGCCACATTAGGCACCAATTTCCGTACTCATGGTGTTTTTAAAGAACGGGTGGCTTTTCCATTCTAGATGCTACGACGCAGTGTTTTGTTACTCTTGTACCTTTTCATTAAATATGGAAAAAATGAAAGACCAACATGCAAGAGTGCAATTTTATATATACAGCAATATTAAACTTTGAATTTATTGCAAGTGGACTGAACAGGGATACTACTCAGCTTAAAAAGAAATTCTTCATACATCAAATTATAATTAAATTAGATTTAAATTTTTAAAAAACAGGGACATTAGGCAGAGTGATACTTCTATATTCAAACACTGCATGTGGAAGTTCTGGTGAGATAAATGTGTGTCAGTGTGTGGCCTGCAATAGAATGGTATGAAAGAAAATGTAAATGCCTGCTTTAGTAATCAAAAGATTCCTTCTTATTGTTGGAAAGGGAGGGGGGTGGAGCCCAACAAATCTCATATGGTAGTAGGTTTGCAAGGTATCGGGATGCAAACAAGCAACGCATGGACGAGACTAAGAGGGAAGTTTGGAATGGACTATGGTGGAAGAAGGGTTTGATGTTGGATAGAGAGTCATGTACACGGCCCATGTCATGTAAAGGGTCCAGCAATTAATTTCTGCCAGTCAATTGTATAAGGATAGGATATACATAAGTTGCTTGTAATGTATTAGAAAATAGAAATGTTATTATTGCTTTAAGATAAGAGTTTGGTAGTAGTTAGGAAACAATATATTTAGTATAAGTAGGAAAAGATAGTTTTCTTAATTATGTTGGAAATTCTAGTTCTAGATGAATTACGTGATCGTTAGCCTATAAATATGGGATACATATACAATGAGTTGCAGTGTGTAATACTGAGAGGAGATCTCGAAATAACATGGAATGTCTCTAGGGAGAGATACTGTTGTTAGGGTTGCTCAGATGCGAGATACCAAAGTTAGGGTGACTCGAGGATAAAACACCAAATGTACAAATGATTTTTTATTAATAACGGGTTTGATAGATGATAAAAGTTTGGGAGGAAGAGCACTTCCTCCATATAGATTATTGTGTCACCATTGTTATGTATTTATCTATCTCGAATTATTTCCATATTGTTTAACATTTGATAGAGACATATATGAGGTTGGAATTCCTGACACTTCAACATCAATCTTTGCCAAGTCCAATAGACAATGTTGCTCAATAACTTCAAAGACAACCTTTACAAAAATATGCAACTATTAAACACTACAAATAAAAAATGAGGTTATTCGCAAGAAAGTATGTTAAGGTGGATGTGCGGGAACACTCTAAGAGATAGAATCAGAATTGAGGTTATTCGCAAGAAAATAGGTGTGGCAGGCATTGCAAACAAGCTAAGGGAAGATCGTCTGCATTGGTTTGGGCATGTAAGACGGAGACCCGAGGGTGCACCCGGTGCGAAGAGTGGAAGAGTGGGACCATGGAGGGGATAAACGAGGGAGACCGAAAATGACTTTGTTGGAAGGAGTTAGGAAAGATATAAAATATATGGATTTACATGAGAACGAGGCATTGGATCGTAAGGGGTGGAGGAGGAAGATTTTTGTCGATGACCACACGGAATAATAAAATTTGGTTCATGTAGCCGACCCCACTTATGGGATTAAGGCATTGATTGATTGATTAATTGATTGAAACACTACAAATCAACTTCTTTTAGACAATCAGTACGAACCATACTTCACAGATTATAACCAAAAATACAGTACTCTGCAGCATCTTTGATGAGAAATATTAACAATCTTTGGATATGTATTTGGTATATCCAATTATTGAGAAATGAATTTACTAAGGCGCCTTTCAGTAAAAATAAATAAATAAATAAATTAAATTAAATTAAATTAAAAAAAAAAAAAAAAAAAAAACTGTGGAGGTGTTCTGAAAACACCATCAGAGAAGTTTATGATCAATTGATAAACGCTTGGAAAAAGGAGGGACAAGAGACTTAAAATAAGATGTATTAAAGCTGTTTTTAGTTTAATTTCAATTATAAGAGGAACAAATAGAAGCATTCAGAATAATAAAGATTAAAACACACATCTTGCATCACCTTTAAATTTCTTATCATCCCGACTTGAGAAGTTTACATCACTAACAGTAGCAGCTTGCAAAGGTTCATTCATTTTGGGTTGCTGGGCATCAACGGAAGTTGGTGAAACTTGTAAAGCATTGTTTGCACTAGGAGAACCTGCAAAAAAAAAATCCAAAATTACTCCCAGCTCAGAAAAAAGCAGTGAAGTACATAAGTAAAATCCTGTTTGTTGGCAGCAAGTACTATATGAGAAGCAAATTGCGAATCAAAGTGAAATAGTTCTAAGCTGTCGTAATCTTCTGTGATATATCAATGTACATATATTCCAGTGTAGACTAAGCTGGTTCGTAAAAAAAAAAAATTAATAATAAATGTAAAATAAAAAAGATCATATAAACTACCACTATAGATTATGAGAGCAACTACAGTGCCAAATCAAGCTTCGACTTTCATAGAGTTTAAAGACGCAACACAAAACTTAGGTTTGAGTTACAAAAATGCACCAGCTTGTTGGCATGTTTTATTTTTTAAAAGGAAAAAAAAAGTATATTAATCAGATGAGCACAAAACAATGAGGAAAAATCTTCTAAAAGGAAACCAATTTTCATATTAAGCAGGTTTCTTTGAACCTCAACAATTGAGAACCTCTTAAAAACCCCAGCCCCCTTTTCCCATAACAATGCTATACAAATCATTTGTCCCATTATAATTGAAAAGACAAAGACTTCTGAAAAGAACCTTGAAGTAGGCTCCTACCAATCTACCACAAGATTTCCAAAAAAGCATTGTGCCACAACTTCTTCTCCTTAACAAATACTTACCCTTACCAAACCCTCCAAAACTCGCCAATCCACAACCTCTAAAGGGAAACCCAATTCCTCATACAAAGAAAACGGCCCCCTCCAAAGGTATCTTGGCACATCAAATGTAGAGATACATGTGAACAAGAATTACTAGCAGATCCCCAAAGCATAAGAATGTCTGGTGAAATTTCCAAAACTTTTAGAGCATGTTGACAGTATTATTACAGCCCACTGCCAAAGTTCATGCAAAGGCCCTCACATTAAGAGCTCGCCTTCCAAATAAATTTTGTTGTCGAAGAGGCTGGATAGTGAGGGGATCGAATCAAGTATCTTAGAAACAATTTACAAGTAAAAAGGGCTTGAGAAGTTGCCCCATCCACACCCTAGAGTCTCCGTTGCAGATAATTGAAAGTCCAAAATTTCCATTAAGGAAAAATGCTCCTCCAATTCCCTGTCATGTATATCCTAAGCATTATAGCATTAAAAGCATGACACCCGGTGCAATATGTAGAAGACAATTGGAACATACATGGGAAACAAATACAAAAAGGATGATCTCACCAAAATCTTGCCAAAGACAAAGCGACAGCCCACCCTATTTTGAACCTCGTTTAAAGTGAGAAGAAAGGGTAACACATGTGAAATGAACTTTTAAGGGCACAAATGTGAACGCATGTGTCACTCTCACAGCTACTAATGCAACCCATATTTTCCCTTGATTACTCAATTCTAAAGGAAATCAAAATTACAAGGAAAACGCGATAACCATATTCTCAGAACAGCAACATCTCATCTCCTGACACCAATTTACCCTAAATCCTAAATCTCCCTCGTCCTTTGGACGACACACCAAATCCCAATTCACTGTATGTGCACACCACTAGACCAAGGCCAAAATGGTCCATCGCCATATTCTCATCTTTCTTGCAAACATTGCAATCAAAACCAAAACCAAAACTTTGAATAAATAGTAGAGAAGGATGCTAGACAAACATGATTGAACCCACCCAGAGAAAAGTAGACCTTCTTCCACCCATTATATTTCGTTGGAATCCACAAAAGAATTCCAAACGTAGGTTTGCCAATTTGCCTCCAAGAGACAAACTCAAATAACTAAGAGGCCACCACTCAATCTAATACCCAACTATACTGAAGATCAGGATGCTCAAGCTAAATCCTTGTTATACTAACTTAGAGATACTAATATTCAATCTTAATATCACCTCAAAAATTTGTAACCCTTGTGAGGACTTTCTGAGATTGTCAAAATCAGCTGCCAAAAACAACATAGAGTCATCTCATACGCAAATGTTAAAGATGTACCTTATCACTCCCCATATTAATACCCTCTATTTCATTCTCTATCAACCTCTCTCTAACATTCTCCCAAGAAAATCCAATACTTTAAGTGAAAAGAAAAGGAGAAATAGGAACCCCTTATGTAACCCTCGAGCTGGAAAAATCCACTCTTAGAGGAACCATTCACAATAACTGGAAAATAAGCATTAGACAAACATCCACAACTCCAATGCCTCCACAGTTCACCGAATCCCTTGCACTCGAGCTACCGAGCTACATCAAGAAAATTTCAACTCACTTAACATATGCCTTCTCAAAATCTAGTTTGGAAACCACCATCTTAACGCCATTTGGACAAGCCACATCAAACTATTCATTAGCAACACGTGCCACCAAGATTTGTCTTTCCTCTACAAAAGCACTTTGAGACTATGAAACAGTGTAACAAAATCCTCTCCCAATTGATTTACATATACCTTTGTAGCAATTTTGTAAGCACCGGTAAGGAGACTAATAGGGACTAGGGAGCAAACCCCTTACCTTGATTGATGGTCTTTCTAGGTGACCATAACAATAAAATTGAAACTCATGCCTTTGTGGAAAATCTAAAATCATGAAACTCCAAATTTAATAGAATTAATAAAAATAAATAAAATTAAGCATATCACTGTTGATTACAAATTTAAAACCTATTTTGAATGAAAATATGCCAATGTAAACCCATTTGGGAGGACTTATTCTTTTCAACATTATTTCAGAATAAAACCAAAAATAATCAGAATAAAAGTGTTAATTTCTGTATATTGTTGCTAAATATCTTTAATTGCATAGTAATAAAAATATTATGAATAATGCTACCTCTTCCTCCTAGTTAATATCCTTTTTTTTTGAAGAACTAATTAATCTCCTTTTTATTATTGCTAACTCTTCCTCCTACCCTTCACAAAACTACGGAACAAACATACGCGCCCTCGCCCACAGGAAAAGTCATGGTATGTGATGTACAATCATATTGAATCAAATGTATGCCAAAATTCGCTCGCAGCCATTACTTGATTATTTTGGGCCTCTAAACAGAACTTCAGAGTTCAGATCTCAGAAACATATAAAATCAACCATTTTTGTGTCATGCAAATCCTTATCCTAAACTGTCATTTCCAGCCAAAACAAAATAGTTGATAACAACAGTTTCAACAACACTAATACAGCTTCACAATTGAGGAAAATTAAGAAAAATCACAACCGTTACTAGCTAAACTAATATAATTTTTTTTTTCTAAGAGTGTCTAATTCAAATACCATTAAAACCAGAAAATAAAAAAAAATTAAAAAAAAAAAATTACTATATACTTTGTATATACAAGTAATAGTTATAGTTGTTGTAATAATTATTTCCATCCAATTTTTCAGCTCATACGTGCCAGCATTCAATACAAATTCGTATTAATTACATAACCCATGAAATATTATTAATACAAAATCACAAATTAAAAAACCAACCCACCTTGAAATAATCCAAAAATAAATTACCCATTTCCCCAAACATGATATTTCAAACAATTTGAAGCAGAAAATTAATCCAAAACATAATCAAACATTCAAACCAACCTGGAGATAATTAACCAAAAATAAAAAATAAAAACAACAAAACCCCCAAAACCAACAACAAAAAAGAAAATGAAGCAAAAATTACCAGTAAGATGTTGGTAAGCAATGTTAGCAACCAAATTGTGGGCTTCTTTAGAAGATTTGGAGGGATTTGGAGTAGTGAAAGTTGAGCCATTTACAGTTACAGTAGCCTTAAACTGAGGGCAATGATCAAGCCCTTCTCTTGTTGTCGAGTATTCTGGAAGATTCCATTTTTTTGATTGACAATACTCTTGTAATTTGGATTTGAACATTTTTTTTGTTGTTGTTTATTTTCTGTGTTGCCCTAAATTTGAAGAAGTATTAATTTTAAAGATAAAATTACTGAAGAAGAAGAAGAAGGAGGAGGAGGAGGGAATGAGAAGGGAGGGAGTGTATGAAAGAGAAAATCTTGTATGTGAATGAAAGCAAAGATGACATAAGTTAGCTATGCTGCAGATTGATTATTTCAGTAATTAACTGATTTGGTAATTTTGGGAAATGACCTCATCTTGACTCTTGAAATAGGGATATTTGTAATATTTCCTCCATAAATAATGTTGGGAAATTCTCTAATTCACAACATACAACTAATTTTTTTTTTATTCCCAATCTATTATCCACGTCACCGGTTCATTGAAAATTATTTTTAAAACTGGTTCATTAGAAAACCGCTATTTAAAATAGCGGTTTACTGATTAAAAACCGCTACTTCAAGTAGCGATTTTCTTATTATATTTTTCTCTCTCCTCTTCCCTCTTCTATGTGAAAACCGTCTTCTTCTTTTCTCTCTCCTCTCCTCTCCTCTTTCCTCTTCTCTCTGAACTCCTCTCCTCCCTCCTTCTCTCTCCTCCGCCATTCTCGTTCTTTCTATTCTCCTTCTCACTTCTCCTCTCTTCTCACACTCCTCTATTCTCCTTCTCCTTCTCACACTTACAACAAAACCCACGTCGCTGCGCAACCAACACCACCACTACTACGCAACCTACGCTCCTTGGTTATGATCTAGAGGTTTCATGGTCGAATTTGACCGTATTAAACCAAATTCGATGAGAAATTAACATCCAATTTCGGTGTTAAGGTATGTTTTCTTGATTTTAATTTTCTTTCTTTTTTTTTGTTTTTTGTTTGTTAATTTTTGGGTTGTAAGGTTTTCGGCAAGTGGTGGTTTTGATTGTTTTTTTTTTTGTTAATTTTTGGGTGGTTATTTGGTTAGGGTTGTAGATCTGGGTTTGGTTTGGGTGTGTTTGGGTGGTAGATGTTGATTTGGGTGGGTTAAGGTGGGTGTACTGGGTTCGGTTAGGGTGGGGGTACTGGGTTGTGGTGGTGGTAGTCAAGGTAGATGGTTTTCTATTTTTTTTTTTTTTTTTTTTTGTAATTTTATATTGTGGGTGGTGGTCAAGGTAGACAGGGTGGGTGGGTACGATGTTACGTGGAGTGGTGGTGGGTGGAGCTGGGGTAAGTTATGGCGATCACTTTCCCCTTCTCCTTACTGATATTTTTTTTTTAAAAAATTTACAGCAAAACCGCTACTTCAAGTAGCGGTGTTCTTGTGTATACCGCTACTTGAAGTAGCGGTTTGTTGCTGGACCGATAAAAAAAATAAAAAAAAATTAAAAAAAATAAAAAAAAAAACCGGTTTTTTTCCCTAAGCTGACGTGGACGGTACAGTGGGAATTAAAAAAAGAGTGGCTGTATTTTGGGAATTAAAGAATTTCCCAACATTATTTAGGGAAAGTACTCTTTATAATAATCGTAATAATAAGTAGGAAAAATTGATTCTAATAATCCCACCTTTAAAGGGGATTTTCATCTATTGGTCCTTTATGACCGGTAGCCTGTGCATTGGGTAAACTTTTTTTTTTTTAATTTAAGTGACACGTGGCACTAGATAATTGGTCAAAAAATTAAAAATAAAAAAAATTTAGTTTAAAAAAAAAAAAAAAAAACCCTAATTTTTTTTTATCCCCAACCACTACCTAACCCCCCAACCTCCGGCAGCCCCTCCTCGGCTCCTCCCCATCCCCACCGCTGGAACTCCCATTTCTACCGCCGAAACACCCATTTTCACCCCCTCCCAGCAGCAACTGACCCAGCTCCCCCTAAAATCACCCCGATTTTCAATAAAAATAAAAAGTAAAAAAAAAAAAACCTTGAAGAGCAGTTAAAGGGGGTTTTCGGTGGAGTTTCGGGGGTGTATGGGGTTTTTCGGTGGAGTTTCGGGGGTTTATGGCGGTCTTCGGTGGAGTATTGGGGGTTTATGACGGTTTTCGGCGGAGTATCGGGAGTATTTAGTTGTGGTGGTTGTGGTGGTTTCGAGTGTGGGTTTGGGTCAGGGGTTGATTTCGGTGATGGATTTGATCGGTGGGGTGGTTTTTTATTCCAGTCGGCCGTTTTCGGGGGTATGGTGGAGGCCAGCCGATTTTCGGTGGTGCTAGGATAAGGGTTAGGGTTTCACGGTGGGTGGAGGGGTGGCTGATGGGGTTTTGTTGTTTTTTTTTTTTTTTAAGTTTTTAATTTTTTTATTTTTCAACCAATTACAAAACGACATGTGGCATGTTAACCTATCAAAACCGGTTACCAACAAGTTAGGGACCAATAGAAGAAAATCCCCTATAAAGGTGGGATTATTAAATAATAATCCAAATGTGGGATTATTAAATAATAATCCAAATGTGGGATTATTAAATAATTTTTCAAAGGTGGGACATTAAATAATAATTCAAAGGTGGGATTATTAACAGCGAACCGGCTAAAGTTGGGATTATTAGAATCAATTTTTCCTAATAAGTATTGTATTTGAAAATTATTACTCTCTTCGTATTTTAATAAACAATGCAAATTAAGGCACTATATTCTTCACCTTAAAACATATTCGGTAAAAATAATTTCAGTTCAATAAAAATAAGTTTAGTACAGTTAAAATTAGTACAATAATTTTAAAGAAGAAATATAATAGGGAATCAATAAATTTAATTTCAGTTCAGTAAAGTTAATTTAAGTTTCAGCAAAAATAATTTCAGTTCAATAAAAATAATTTCAATTCAGTAAAAATAAGATGAAGTGGACAAAGCTTAATTCATATAAAGATTAAGTATTGTACTTATTAGAAAAGTATTACTTTAAAATATGGAGGGAATTTTTAATATATACTTACTTCGTATTTTAATACTCTCTTTGTATTTGAATTAATTAAATATTGGGGAGTAAGTGATTTTGTATTATTTAGATGTATAAATTTGTTGGTTATTTAGAAAGTAATGAAATTTACTAGTAATTTTCAAATTTTTGGATCATTGATACTATTAAAATTGTTTGTAAGCTATCATCAAGTGTTGTAAAGAACTAAATACCTACTTATATGTTAAACGCCTATTAATTACCACTTAATGTGTTGTTTTAAAGTCTAGGCCACTAAAAGTAATATTTTTTTATTTTTTTTTTCTGTATTGTATTTTGTAAACATTGATTTATTTATCATCATCGTGTTGTTGTCAAAATTGAAAAATTAAAACTAATACATTATTCAAAGTTAATCACCTTTAGATACAATGTACTCTACATAAGATTTTAAGCACACATTATTGTATAGATTTTATTTATAAACTACCCTTTCCACTAAGTTATTGGATTTAAAAAAGTTCTCTCGTGGTTTTTTAATTGACCAATAATCGTATATATAGACTTCGTGCTTTCTCATTTACTAAGACACAATATGTATACTATATACGAGTTAGTAAATATCCTTAAAAACATTATAGAGTTATTACACAACATTATACTTATGCAATAATACAAGAAGTAAAATGTTGTATGGAACTTGTTAGACAAGTTTAGAGTTATTACACAACATTATACTTATGCAATAATACAAGAAGTAAAATGTTGTATGGAACTTGTTAGACAAGTTTTGCAAAATCAAATGGAACTTAAAGCAAGTGAAAAAAATAGTGCAATAGATCAAGATTTTACGAGAAAAAAAAATTCTCAAGCCTAATAAGAACAGGAAATCCTTAACTCTAAGGGAATTTTACTCAAAAATTTCCACTTTGTTAGGCCAACGATCATATTGCAACCTATCAAGAATTTGAGCTTCTCCATAGTGTTTTTGTGAACTCATTCTACAAATAATTATTCCCTCCAACAGTAGCTATTTTTGAATGATCTTCCCGATTCTTTCTCTAGACTATAAGCTTTATTTAAAGCCTTAGTATTTCTTTCCCTCAAGCTTCACCCAAAGCTTCTCATACTCAATAAGAACACAATCAATTAGTTCTTAGTTCTTACTTTTTACTCCAATACACCAAATCACCTAAATTCTTTACTGATTCCCTAATGTTAAAACTCTAGTTTTTATTGGTCAATTCCCGACTAACCATCGGGACTAGGACCATTTGGGTCGGGTTCGTGGGTACGAGCCGTTGGAGACCTTCGCATTTGCGGGGTTTGGGCTTTGAAGTAAGAACTCGGGATCGAGCGAAGCACGCGCCAAGGGTATGAATGTCTTTTCCTTCTGTCTCTTAATTGTTGTTTAATATGTGATTGCATGCTTAGTTGCCTTAATTAGTGGGCGGGTCTTGGGCGGGTTTCTGTTCCGCGTAGAGTCGGACTCTACGAAACCCAACAGCGGTATTGGAGCCACGCTCACTTTAATTTTTGTTACTAATAATTAATTAAGGTGATTTAAAATGGATTTAAATTGCTGGTTGTGCTTTCTAATTGGATTAGAAGCTCGTTTTAATTAGTTTTAATCTCGTATTTTTTCTAATTTTGGCTGACAAACCTAGATTTCGACTCAAAAATAGTGATTTTTGGGTGGAATCGATGTTCTAAATCGTTTTTGACCCTTTTAGAATTGTCCAGAAGCCAAAATCCACCTAAAAACATGTGTTTCGAGGGGGTTTTCGTTTTTGACGAAATTTTTTTAAATCATTTAACCTTGATTAATTATTGCATGTTGAAGGTAGATTAAATGTATGGTTGCATCCCTAATCTACTGCAATTATAAACCTCATTAAGCATGTTTATGAAGTCATAATTGGTGCTTAATTTTGTGTGCTCATTTTTCACATAAACTTGTTTTTTTCATATTGTTGCAAATAAATTGCTTCAAGTGTGAATGTTTATGGTGAACTTGTAATTTTGAAGTCCCTAATATTTCAAAGATCCAATCTTTAATTGTCTATTTGGTTGGAACTTTGATTGCTAAATTCCATGCTGAACTAATTTTTGGATTTAATCATTTTTGTGTTGATTAATGTCCTAAAAGTTCAAAACTTGTTATTAAAATTAAATTAATCTTCATGTTGGAAGATGTAATTTTTTAATTTTTCACAAGTTATTGTTGGAAATTTTTCATTGGATGAAAGGGTTTAATTTTTCAACCCCTTTAATTTTGTCAAAACTCATTATTAATTGCTTAAATTGCATTAAATAATACGACCTTTGCTCCATCCGCTAAAAACAAGTTGAACTTTTGTTTATTTCAGAATAATACGACTTTTGGGG